ATGTGCAGAGGAGGGATAGTGGTTATATTGGTAGAAGGATGTTGGAGATGGAGCTGCCAGGCAAGAGGTCAAGAGGAAGGCCAAAGAGGAGATATATGGATGTGCTAAAAGAGGACATGAAGTCAACTGGGGTGAGAGTAGAGGATGCTGAGGATAGAGTTAGGTGGAAACAGATGATTTGCTGTGGCGATCAAAAGTAGAAGAAGAAGATTACATGGCCAGTGAACACACATGACACTGTGAGCTGCTCAAACAGCCTCTATTCTTCAGGAGTTGGTCTTTGCAACGGATGTTGGCTCCCATTCAGACACATCGGCAGAGCATCAGCAAGGTCCAACACTGCTATTGGTGACAAAGGTCTGGTTCGGGGTTTAATGGGGCTAAGGTTGGGGCTCTGTGCAGGCCAGTTCACATCTCTGTTTTGGTGCAAACCTTTCTTTGTGGGTTTGGACTCAGTCTTGTTGCCAGCTTTAACTTGGAACTGACTTGAGCCATCAGTGTATACCGTAGCATTAAGCCTCTGATTGGTTCAGGCAAGTGTCTGTGTGTGCGTGTCTCACCACAGTTCGTCCACCACTCTGACCAGCAGCTGGAATGTGTGCTTGGCAGCTTTCAGGTCTGCAGGCTCACATCTATCACACAGGTGTCTGTATGTGTTGATGGTTAAAGATTCAAAATAACTCAAGTCTGGACAGACTGACTGAACACTCACTTGGCACGTTTTCTTTACGTGGGCTCTTTTACCTGTGAGGTAATGTTCAAAATAGCTGCACAAGCTGAACTCTTTACCTGTCTTTAGTCAGAAGAACAGGAAAAACAAAATAGAACAGAAACATGAAGACTAGGTCGTCTGCAAATGAAGACATTTTCTAACTTGTTTTCTACCTGTTTGCACTCTCTTAGCATCCTTCATTGTTTGCCTTGTTCTCAAATCCTGCAGATCTGAAGCCCACACTTTCATTTGATAGAAAACCAGAAAAATAGAGCCTAAATCTGAAGAACACAGGTTGTATCCTCTTTTTTCTTTTGGACCTGGATAAACAGCCCATGACAAGTTCATTTCCAGCTATTTAAATTTTAATCTTGGGTACCTCTAGATTAGCTTGGCACACCTCATAACTCTAAATAGTCTGTGATTATTTCAGAATGATAAAACCAAAAAAGCCTCTTCCTAAAAATGAGGACAGTTCGTGAACATGCACGACTCCTGCTGCCAGTGTTGTGTGCAACAGCCTGGATTTTATACCCATTCAATGAAATCCTTAAACTATCACGTAATACTTTATCTTGGTAGAAAAAAGTCTTGTGAGCGAGAGACATGTATAAATCGAGTTACTTCTGCATAAAAATACTAGAACATTCCTATACCTCATTTTTTGAGCTTTAGGTCACGTCTAAGATAAGAATTCACTGTTGTAACGTTGTAGATGTTTCCTGTTAATTAGCAGTACACCTGTACAGTATGTGCTGTACATCACTGCATGAGATCAAAATGTTTTTCAGTATCTTGTTACTGGATGAGGAATTGAGAAATACAGCCATTTGTCTTCCTAGCAACACTTGAGTGCTTTCATTGTTAATCTGTATTAATTCTTGTTTTTAGAAGTACATGTGTACACATTCTGTTATTAATGACCGGGGCCTCACAGCAACCACAATGTGACTGAAGGGTTTGGGTTCCATAGCCACAGACAAACTAGACATGACTGACTCAGAGGATATCTGTGCTGTAGTTTGCTGATGACATCATTCGGGCTGATGAAGCTCCTATAGGTGGAGAGGAAGGCTTCACAATACGAGACCTGGTCTATACACACACACACACACACACACACACACACACACACACACACACACATTTACATTTACTGCTGAAAGATTACACTGCTTTACTTGACCTGTACATGTTATGTTTCAAGCACAACTTATTGTCTTGCTGAAAAAACTTTGAAAAAATCAACTGGACTAGGTTTCTAAGTCGAAGACGTTTCACCTCTCATCCAAGAGGATTCATCATTTCTGATGGGGTGTAGGTATGTTCTAGTATTTCAATGCAGAGGTAACTCGATTTATACATGTCTCGCAAACTCTTGGATCAGACGTGAAACGTCTTCAACCTAGAAACCTAGTCCAGTTGATTTTTTTTCAGCTTACTATGACCTGGATGACTGAGAATCTGCACAGACAACTTATTGCCTTGAGCACATACGTAGGTCAGCTTCCTCTACAGAAGACGTATCATCACGAGCACACAAGTTTGTACCTTTACACCATAAACCAGTATGTTGGACACACAAATAGCATCTTATACTCAGAATTGTGTCTCCTGCATGCAGCAGTTTGTATATTTTGTGCACATTAGTATCTTGCACACATGTTAATATAGTGTGCTTACTATTTATGTTTTTGTGCCCACAAGTTTGTGTATTGTGCATGTAAGTTTACATCCTGTTCACAGAAACTTGTGTCTCTGATGTGCAGTATGCTGTGAAGCAGATCTCTCCAATATAACTCATTAACTAGCTACTGTACTTGAATCTTGTTTCTGGTGGGGATCTTAACCAGCATGAGTGCTTGTTGCTTTCTTGTATTATGAGGAAATTTACATAAAGCAACAGCACTCACCAGTGCTGTTGTCAGTCTCGGTGGCGTAGACCAGCAGGATCTCAGGAGAGGCAGCTTTTATGTCTGGACCCTCCTCCTCCTGAGCCGGTCACAGGTCAGAGGTCAGGAACAAGGTAAATTACTGACATTTAACAGAGAGGTCAGAGGTCATAGCTGTACCTCAGACTTCATGGTGATTCTGTTGAGGATCTCCTGTTGGTTGGTCAGTAGCACCTCCTCCTTGCTCCTCCCACCATGCTCCTCCTTCTGCTCAAGACTGTGGGAACTGCAGACCAGAGCACCATCACTAAGTCTTTGTTTGTGTGTGTAGGCATGTTTGTCATTGTTGATATTGTGCTTTTGTCACCTGTCTCTGCTCCGATTCTCCTTGAATTGTTTGTCGTCTTCGGCTGAATCCTGATGACAAAAACAATCCAATCAGATCAAAGATCAATACCAGTCCAATCACCCATAAATGGCTTCAAGCTGTTCCACCTACAGTAGAAAACTAGCTTGAAATCATCAAAAAGATACCTGAGATGGAAACCTTCCCACTGAGGCTGAAGAGTGATTTATACACAGACCGAGGGACAAACAAACAGTGCCTGATTCACTGGCTCAACATGCTCACTGCTGAAAACTTGCACATCTCTTCCCTAATCTGGATACTACAACAACCTCCTGTACACAGCACATAAGAAATAAACTCTGAAGTTCCGCCAGAAAGCTCAACAAAGCTAATTTCCAGGTGAAAGTACAATCACATAACTGTGACCAGGTACCAGAACTCTAACGGGTCTGTGCTGATTCGCTGGTCAAACAAACATTCAAACAATGCTAGGATCTGAAACAGACACCAGCACCAATGTAAACAGAGGCTGCTCTCTATAGACACTAGAGAAGAAACAAAGGAGGGCTGGTAGGGGTTTAGGGAAGCACCTGGACTACTAAAGTCCTGCTGTTTACTTCACAGCTAACAGCCTCCATACTAACACGCAGGGCTGCCAGCACCTAGCGCTGACTGTTGAGGCAGCTGGTTTCACCTGATGTAACCTTACTGGAATAGAAGAAACAAACCACGGTTAAACTTGACCAAATTTAATTTCAGGAAACATCCCAGAAGTTTGACACCGGTGATTAAAAACCAAGTGGTGGAGGGGAAACCACAGAAGAAGATGACCCAGTGTTGCGGTTGAAGAAGCTGTAACACTGGTACAAAAAGTCTGCTTCTGAAGTTCCTAATGTAACAGTAGTTCATATATGACCTCAATCAGGGGGCTTCTGACATGTGTCTAACCTGTCGCCATATTGCCAGGGGCAATGATTTATTATATCATATCGTATCATATCATATCATATTATATTATATTATATTTATCATTCGGACATGTCACTTTATCAGTAGTTGCATTAAGTAGCCTTAAACCGTCTTCTTTAAACTGTTTCATGGTGCTAACATGACATATCATAGCCTCTGTCTGTACTGAAACGTTAGCTATGAAAGCACAGAAATACTCAACACGTGTAGAGGTTTCAGAAAAGTCAGACAGACATGGATACCGAGGAGAAAGGATGCTGAGAAATGTGTAGCCTGCCAAAATATATATTTATCCTTTTAACTTGTGTTTGTTGTAATTATGTATTAGGGCAGCAAGTTTACAATGTAGAGGGGCGGTGGGATTGTTACTTTTTAATAATTATGAAGTGTATATTCATTATTATAGAAATATTTTGCTGCAATCTGCAAAAGATGAAGTGTTTTGATATGAAAATCTGCATTTTTACATCTCAAACAGCTGGAAAATCAGCTTTAAACTTAGCGAGTTATGATGATTTTAGTGTGGACAGACCCCCTGTCCTCATACACGCATTAGGAGGCACAGCCTTGCCCCTGGCATCATGGTGGCCACAGTGACATGGCGCCGCAATAGACAGAAGTGGCTCATAGACCATCTGGTGTATGTATCTGTGTGACCTGAATAAATGAAGGCCTGTCTCTAAAGTAAACCAGTTTCTCTATGATTCAGTCACACTGTGAAGATTAATGAAATGATGTGATGTCTCTGAGAACCTCACCTGCTGTTTCTTCTTTGGTGGAAGCGCCGGAGCAAGAAGCAACCCAGGTGAGGTTGAGGCAGGCTCTGTGTCAGGCAGGGTTTGTGTGTTTGTGAGCTGGTAGGTTGTCTCCACGTCTCGCTGTCTGCTGCTGTAACACTGACTGTAGGTTGGAGGTCTCTGGTAGAACATGGCCGCAGACTGAGCGCTGTAGGATGAACAGAACTGGAGGTACTGATGGACTGAACAGAAACAGAAAACAGGACCAGGGACAGACAGACAGGTTTGGTTGGATTACATCCTGAACCTCATCAAAAATCATGTTTGACATTAAGCAGAATCACCAGCTGCATCCTTTAGCAAGGAAACATCTGGCAGAAAGTCCCACAAACGTTTCACTTCAGAAGAATCTGATTAAGAAAATACCTTGACTGATATCATGCCTGTAGTCAGCTTCAAAAAGAGTTTACACACAAACTTATCAACTACTTCTCAGCTGATCAGTCGGCTGTTTCTACTCACTGTGTCGTTTCTTCTCAGGGAGGGGAGGGGGAGTCTTGCTAGGGGAGAGCGGGGAAGACAAAGGCTCATCAAACTGGGCGGGGCTCTGTTCCATGTGGGCGGGGTCTAACTCAAAAAAGGGCACAACCTGACAGCTGGTCCTTTCTGAGGTTCAGAGAGGAGAGAGAAGACTCAGAGAAAGACAGACAGGTACATGCAGAGAAAGACAGGTAGCTCAGGTGTTTCCTCACCTGCAGTGCTGCGACATCTCTTCTCTGGCAGGGCAGGGGGGAGGATGGAGGCGGGAGGAAGAGGAGGGACAGTCTCAGAGGAGGAGAGGTCAGTATGGAGAAAGTTATAGTCTGGATCATCCTCTGAATTAAAACATTACAGAGAGTCAAATGTCACCTTCAAAGTCAGGTATAATGTTGTGGCTCAGGTGACTGGTGTTGTAGTTCAGGCAAGGTATTGATAAAATTGATTCTGTAGGTGACAGGTTCTCTAAATCTTGTGTGGACGTGAGATGTCTGAGTCTTGCTGCTTGGTGGTTAGGTGCTAGGTGTTAGGGTTGACGTGACCGGTGAAGCTCAGGTCTGAGTCAGTTATGACTTGAGTTTTTGTCCTTATAGCTCTAGAATCAAGCTGATCAATAACTGTCCTTTCATTGCTTCCAAAAACTGTAACTTCAGTTTTGTCTTTAACTGAAGGGAATTTGACAGCATCCAGGTATTTACATGCTTTAAGCACTAACAGATTGAATTTAGGGGACCTTAGTCACTTGGTTACAGAGCTAAGTAAATCTGAGTGTCATCTGCATAAGTATGCTAGGAAACAGTATTTTCACGTATGACCTGACCCAGAGGGAGCATGTACAGACTGAATAACAATAGTCCAATAATCGAACCCTGGGGGACTCCACATGCCAGGGTGATCCACTCACCAATGGAAACAACATAACCTCCGCCTTCAAGACCCACCCAGTTTTACAGCCTGTCAAGAAGGATTTTATGGTCCATAGTATCAAAAGCTGCACAAGATCAAGCAGCACCAGAACTGATGTATTGACGCAATTGTCATTTAACACCTTTATCAGTCCTGTGGTGTCATTTAAAGCCAGACTGAAATCTGTCCAAAAGGCTGTTTATATTTAAAAAGTTGTTCAGCTGAATAAAAACTGCAATCTTCCAATGAAAGGAAGTGTCGTGGCTAGAATGTGATACAGACTAAATCAATTCAGACAAATCATCCCAATTTAAGTAATCATTTAATATTACAATTATTCTGAACAGAGTAGTAGTTAAATAGGTAATCTGGTAGTTAGGAAACAGAGAACAGAATCACTCCTCCTGCAATGAAATAAGTATTAAATAAGGAGATTGTCAGGACGCCAGTCAGTCACTGTTGGTCACAAGGTACTGTCAGGGGTCCAGTCAGTCCTGAGTTTGTTCCCCCTACCCCCCGGCCAGGTCTACGATACACTTTCACGGTAGCATTCTCATCCTCTCTTCTTCCTCTCTAACCCAGCTATCCTACCCTACCCTTTTATCTGCTCGCAGTTACACAGCCGTCCATGGCCTGAGCCAGACACGCAGTATCGTGCCAGCTCCACACCCCTTCTTCCGAGCATTGTCTAAGATGTCCAGTACATGAACTTCTAGATCGCATTGACCTAGCACATATTTCCTTTTTCTAAACCTGAACAGAGCACACAAACAGTTTACATAAGGCTGAAGCTATGTCCATTCCCCATCTAAGGAGGAAGTCGCTCGGGATGTTTACCCATAAGTTAAACAAGGGGGACACAGCCCAAGATATTCTTGCTTGAGCAAGAGAAGAGAAACAGATCAAGCTTACATAAACATTTAGCTCACCCTTACATAACTATTACAAATATCATCTATATATGAGCTACATACTGTTCTATTACACATTACCTCTGGACTGGTACCTTATTAATTTTTAACCACTACAGAAGATTAGCGATTGGCCTGTAATTACGTAACAGAAGGATCCAGGTTGGTTTTGTTTAGAAGGGGCTTAACAACTGCAGTTTTCAGTATTTTGGGAAAACCCCTGACAGGAGTGAGCTGTTAACAATTTTGAGCACATACGTTTCCAAGCAGCTGAAGATATTTTTGAAGAACCTGGATGGCAGGTTGACCAAACAGTAGGTGGATGAATTTAGGGTCTTATCTACACCCTCCAGTGTTTTGGCAGTGATGGCACTGAATGTTGACATTCTAACCAGAAAGTTCATGTGCGACTGCAGCAGCGGTTTGGTTGCATTGTTTGACATGGAGGAATTTATGGCCAGTCTGACGGCTCTCATTTTTTAACTAAAAAAGATGCAAACTCGTTACATTTACTTTGAGATAGGAAATCAGGGGCTGACTGTTGGGTGTTAGGGTTAGCCTCTCAACGTTGGCAAACAAAACACCAGAATTATTGATATTCCTGTTGATGATGTTAGAGAAGAAGGCTTGTCTAGCCTTATTTACTCCAGAGTTGTAAATGCAAAGCCTCTCCCTAAAAATGTCATAGTGAATCTGAAGATTCTGTTTCCTTACTTGTAACAGCTAGAGTGTACCTCCATGGTGCGTTTTGCTTGCCAGAGATGTATTTAACCCTTTCAGGTGCAACAGTGTCATTTAGACAATTTCAAACTGACAGTGTGAGTTTGTCCAGCAGGAGGCAGCGGTTCAACACCTTACAGCTGACAGGAAGACACAGCAGACACTAGTTCCTGTTTCTGACACTACTTCCTGTTCTGATATCACTCACACCCCATGCTTCTGACTGGAAATGTGTGTGTTACCGCAATGTGTGTCAGCAGCAGAGTCTGCAGAAGAAGAAGAAGAAGAGGAACATCGCTTCAACAAGTCGTCCTCCTGTAACACACACACAGACGCACATTATGAACACATCAAAGTGTATGATACTGCTAATGAATGAATGAATGAATGAACATATGGCTTTTACAGTCATGGTCAAACTGTGTCCACAATTGGATTAATCTTAACTTATGTTAGTGCAGACAGACAGTGTGAACACATGAAACCAGTCTGAATCTGGTTCAAATCTCCTCTGAGTTTTTTCGTACACCAAGTGTTTCACAGTAAAAGACAAAACAAACATGGTATAAATGTAATGAATGAAAAACTAAATAAGATTAACGGCAGAGTTCAGAAACACCAGTGTTACCATGACAACATGGTGTGTACCTGTTGCACCTGTCTGTCAGCTTCAGGTTCTCGTCTCATTGGTGCTACTATGGCAACTCTGCATGAGGCGGGGCCTGATGATGAGTGGCGTTTTTTAGGAGGCAGAACTGGACGACTGAGAGACAGATAGAGACAGACAGAAGACTGTCACTCAGAAGCTTTTATTCTAGCTCATACAACACCTGAGTGGGAATGACGGAGATTTAAGAACCAACTCTGAACCGGTGTAAAATATTCTGTTGTGTGGACAATGAATAAACAGATTTAATCAGACGTGCACATCTATTATTTTCTATTTGATGCTGAATCTGAAAACAAATCCAATCTGAATCCTTGATCCTCAGAGCAGAGGTAAGAGCTCTAGGATGAGCTTCAAAATGGGACAACTTCTGGATCAGATGAGGTGCAAGGATTGTGGATCAAGGGGCAGTGCTGATTCTCTCACTTATCTTTTCCTAGTGTCTTAGTTCTGTCCACATAAAATGTGAGGAGAGAGGACTCAAGGAAACGTGTTACTAAAAACATGAGATTTCCTTTCCTTCAACCTTTCATCTGAAGCTTCCAACTGATTTCTGATAAAGGGGCGTGTTGGTTCATAACAGACCTCTGCAAAGGATGCTCTCATATGTCCTCGCTCATGGCTCCTCCAGCACTGTCCTTGGCCAGAACTGATCTGAGAGACTGTGAATGTTCTTAGTCCTTACTCAAAGTCATTCCTGTTGACTGAGGACTGAGGATGTTAGAATGATGAATGAAGTGAATGAAGAGACTTGGGATGTACCAAAGGATCCCTGCAGATATATGAGCTCAGAAGTCATTGAGCACAGCAGGAGCTGATGTCACATAACCTGCTGGGATCTTAAAATTTTATTTCTCTAAAATCCAAAATGTTTCATTTGTAAAACATCTGTTCATGTCTTTTTGCCTCTCTCACTTCTACTTTTTTGTGCTGTTGTTCAGTGCACAAGGACAGGAAGTGCGGGGGGGGGGGGGGGGGGGGGTGTCTTCCCTTTTCACTCACAGATCTATTTCTGCTCTTCACCTTCATCAAATTTATACTTTCAAACACTGATCTCGGTACGACACAGATCAGGACTCACCTGAGTCCCTGTGGGGGGGTCATCTGGGGCTCTGGCTGGGGCAGAGGAGGTTTGGGAGGAGCTGAAACCACCTCCTCCTCTGCAGGACTCCTGCAGGTCACTTTCCTGTCTGATGTCTCCTGGTCATCAAACCCTCCTGTCTGTCCCACAGCAGGCTGTGACTGGACAGGCGACAAGGGGGCGGAGCCTTCCAGTCTCTCTGCAGCCAATCGAACCAGTTCCTAATGGTCACATGGCAAAGAGGCGTTTACAACATAATGGAACAAAATACAAGCCATCCAAATAAGACACAATGGAGAGGACAAAGTAATAGGACAGAACAGGACAGGACAAGACATGATGGAGCAGGACAAACAAGACTAAGACTGGAAATATGGACTGTTTGGCTGTTTGCCTGTCCAGTCTGGTGCTTCCAGCTCATCTCCAGCAGACTCCATATTCATTCAGGGTTTAAACACCAGGCCATCATTTGTCCTCACCTTGACCCCGTCCAGCACGGCCCTGATCACCGTAGTAACACTTGCTGTGGACTCTTTGTTGTTGCGGGCAACGCCCTGCAGCATCACCTGATCAGCCCAGCGAATCAGCTGAGCCAGAGAGCGGTAGAGACGAGCGAGACAGGCAGCAACAGTCTTACTGCAGAGAGGGCAGACAGGACAAGGTCAGGAGACAGGTCACTCACTGATGTCTGGGCTCAGAGGATCAGCAGATGACACCTACCTGTTGTGCAGGTGTGGCTACAGTTGGACCCGAATCTGGGCAGGACTCCACTGGATGCCCCACCCAGCAGACCGCCCACCACAGGCTGATCCAGGACAGGTTTGTCCACTCCAGGTCTGTCCACTCCTAGTCTGTCCACCAGAGCTTTAAAGTACTGCAGTGAAGTGATGACGACCCGCTGCTGGTCCACCAATGCCCCTCCCACCTGCACGTACACACGCACACACACACAGTTTTAATGGACAGTATTCAATTCAATTTAATTCAATTTTATCTCCCCTGAGCAGCACTTGGCGACAGTGGGGAGGAAAAACTCCCTTTAACGGAAGAAACCTCCGACAGACCCCAGCTCTTGGTGGGCGGCCTTCTGCCTTGACCAGTTGGGGGGAGTGGATAGAGGAGAGAGAAAAGAAGAAAAGCAACAAGACACAACAACCAATCAAACACTGGGCGGCCCACAGACAGTGGATGATGTCACAGTGATTTCTCCATCTTGACAAAACAGACCAGATATGACTACATTTATATAGTTTCATAGGTGTTCTGGTTCATATTTTACCTGAACCATAAAACAGTTCACTGAATATTCTGAGACTAGGATATATTCATATTAAAAGGCACAGCCTGTCTGTTTCCAACAAGCAGCTCTATTGTTCTGTGCAGTGAGGAGCTGGTGGAGCAGCCAGAGCAGAGACCAGTGACTCTGTGCACAGTGACGTTCTCAGCCTGAGGAGCTGTTTGGTGGAAACAGACGCCTCCAGTGTTTCCTGAGGAGGAAACCTGCCCCCCCCCCCCCCCCCCACGGGGGGGGGTTTAATAGTTGGTGGACAACAGTGGAGGTCTACAGCACAGAACGATGAGCTGAACCAGGGTCTGGACTCACACACATCACAGTAAGGACACCACATTCACTGGTGCTGCTGGTCTCTGGACAGGATTGCTGGGGAATAACACAGACATAGAGAATCGGCGACTGCATCCTTTAAAGACAAACCAACAGTGCGACAATGATTGAGCCTGATGAATGTATAATCTCGTGAAGACAGACGGGAAGAAACAAGCTGAAGCCGTCAGGAGGAGGACATCTGACACTCTCAGAAGAAAGAACGTGATATGGTATATTGATTAGTGTGTGTGTGTGGATACCTGCACTGTGTGCTCCTGCAAGTTCAGATCAGGTGGTTTGGATCTCTGTGATGGGGTGTGTTTGATTCGCTCAGAGTGTCTGATCCACTGTGGCTGGAGCTTATCCTTCAGCCTCATGGTGAGAGATGCAAACTGAAATCCTGAAGCGCATAATCATCATCATTAAAAGGAACTCAGTTTAACAATAAACTCTGGAAGAACCTGGCAGGAAGTGAATGTTTTTAGCCTGTGGTGGCTAACAGTTAGCATGTCAGACAGAAAGAGGACGAGAGGCGGCTTACCTGGCTTACTCTCAGCCCGGGAAGACATGTCTGCATATAGACAGATAGCAGAGCAACAGTTTAATCCTCTGCTCTCTCTCTCTCTGTTGGTCTCTCTCTGCTTACTTCTTCTTGTCTCTCTTTCTGTAGATGCTTGTTTTCCACTTTTCACACTCTGTCCTGCAGCTCTCTGTTTCTCTTCCTTCCTGTCTCTCTCTTCTTCCTCTTTCTGTCTCAGTTAAATGAAATTCAGTGCTCACAGTGAGGAAGATAATGTTGAGTTATAAATATAGCATCAGTCAGTCTGTGATCGTGCAGTGCCACCTGCTGGCTGGAAGCAGTACAACGTAGACTGGAGATGGTGGTTTGCTGACTCTTCGAATCACTGAACAGACTTCAGTTAAATGTTAAATGATGATGACTCTTCGAACCACTGAACAGACTTCAGTTAAATGTTAAACTGGTTTAGTGAAACAACCAGAGTCCAGCTTGAACCCAGTGACCAGAATACTGAAATGTTTAGATGATGATTAGTTTAGTCTAGAATTACAATTAGTTTAATTTGATTTATAATTCATTTAGTTTATACCTAAGTTTAGTTTATATTTAGTTTAGTCAGCTTGTTTCACATGAAGAAAAGTTGACACTCGTCGTCTTCGTCCACACACACTTTAATTATGTCACATATTGGCCCTGATCACATGGCACAAAGGTACACACACTGTAACACACGCACACACACTACAGGGTGGGCCACTTCATATTTCAGTTGAATAGATCTACATGTAAGTTCCTCACATATATATGGTACATAATTATCTTCATATATTCTGTAAACAATGTTTAACATCATGCAGGGTGAACTATCCACGATCACTGATAGGAGCTGCATTCAACACGTTGCTGCAGAGCCATGTGTGCAACACTTCACTGATCAATAAATATCACTCACATCATACAGGTTTTGTTGACCAGCCATGCCGACGTTAATCTGAACACGAGGACACATCACAGCTGCATGCAGGCTCTGCTTACACGAGGCGTGGTGGACGCAGCTCTGAGCTAAATCTAGACTAACTACAGAATCACCACAACGTGAACAGCTTACACAGGTGGAACTCATAGATTAGCAGGTCTGGTTTAGATTCATACAGTCCGTAAACATCACACACAGTCAACACATTCTGAAAACATGAGTCTCCTCTGTAGGTGTGGATCAACCAGCGATTCCCTGCAGTCTGATCCCATTTACAACATTTCAGCTCCTGGATTCACATGAGCAACAAAACACGTTTATAAATTAATCCCCAGTCCATCAAGCATTCAAAAACCAAAGGCATCAGAAGAATCTAACAGACCCCCAGACACAATACATTTCTATTGCTACAAACGGTGATAATTGTAAAATAACGATCATAATTAATGTGAAGTCAGTAGAATATAATAGAACACAACAGAATAGATGACATTATAGTAAGAATATTTGAGGCGAATACAGTAGATTGTAGGACCATTGGTTTCATTAGCTAACAATGCTAAGCACCAATATTTTCTTCACATATTGGCAGCTAACGTCAAATGCAAACAAACAAATAAATAAATACATACATGTTAAAACAATATGTAAACTTTACTCTGTAAAGAAAAAAATCTCTTTACATGACAAAAAGAACTGAAAATAAACTAAGATTATTAAACCCCAGGAGTTGACGCGGCTAGCTGCCTGTGCATTCAGAGAGGACACCATCTCTGGACTCCTCTACAGTACTGTACAGTATACACAGTACTGGTGTGAGCAACAGATCACACAATTCTGTCAGTGCTGACCTGCCTCACCCTCCTGACAGCAGACAGAAAGCAGGACCACATATATGCACACGCAGTATTGCAGTAGTATCATTTGCTATATATTCATAATGTGTGACTATCAATGTCATTTTATTATTACTAGTAAGGTTCACAGTAACACAGCATCATCAGTAGAGACCAGTAGAACAGTTCAGCAGAGACACAAACACACACTGGGGTCAGGTTAACCCTCAATAGAAGACTGGGGGCTCTCTCCATGGGCAGGACTACCTTTACTGGGACGGCTATGATAAAACAACAGGACACAGACATGAAGAGAGAAAAGAGAAAAGAGGAGAACAAAGTGAATTAAAAAAAATAGGCAGGAGGGTTAAGGTCAAAGGTCAGGTCAACCAACAAAAAGTACACTTTGTGTGTATTTTGTGTACTGGGTCATAGGGAGGAGTCAGAGGCTGGTCTGGAGGATCGAGATGGAGATGCAGGAGATCTCCGACTAGAGACAACACAACAAAAACAAACACAAACACACAAACAACAGACAGTTAGTGACAGGTTGATGGAGCCGTCAATCACACAGCTAATTATTATGCTGGGGGAGTGGGTTGGGTCACACGGCGATAACAGCGATCTGAATGGAGGATGAGGCACGCACATGTACAAAGTTTTTGAGAGACAGTGACATCACACAGACAGCTGACGTACCATTGGTGAATCCTCACTGGTCACTGATAGAGATTCTGAAAAATAACCATATATGGTCAATATAAAAGGGGAGCGATAGGGGCGGGGCTACCTGTTCTGACTGACACCTGAGAGATTCCTGTTTAGTTACTGTTAGAATATGATCACACAAACAGAGACTGAAAGGCAGGCAGACAGGTAGGTACAGAGACAGACAGGTAGACAAAAAGAGACAGACAGACAAGGCCCCATGTGGATGTGTCGATGGTGACAGTTTCATCTCCGTGTGTCCAGTACTGAGTTGAATAACACAGAGACTAAAAACTCCATCACCACCATTTGCAGCTGTTTGTTGATGTCTGTAGTTCTTTTTCTCAAGGTCAGAAATTCGACCAATGCAAAACATTTCAACTGATTTTAATCCAAGAGTTCATCATTCAGTAATTTTTGGACTTTAGTTTAAATCATGACACAAACCCTGTGACAGAAAATTAAGTAAATGAGACAAAATGTTTAGTAGTGGATTTTTTTTACAGTGTACCTTGAACTTGTTTAGACCAATGCTGTAGAAAGATTTCTTCCTCTTCAAGTGAAGCTAGGCTAACACTTCTTCCTGAGTCAAGTCTTTGTGCTATGCTAGGCTAACTAAACTGAGGACTGAACCTTTAAAGGCTATTGGATGATAAGTGATGATGAAGTCTGACAAAGAAGAAGAGTGAGTCGGGGGAGGAAGAAAACAGTAAAGAAAGACCAGTCTTTCTATTCCATGTCTGTGCAGGTTGTTTGTGGATCGCTGCTTTTCCTTCTACAGCACCAACAAAGAAGAATCTCTCAAATAATCAAAACAATTTCTTCTTCTTCTGAAATTTAGTCTGTTCTAATAAAGCACTGTATGGTTTTTAGTTTGTCTCTGGGTCCAGTCTGATCAAAACTCTTGGTTCGCCACACTGAACACCTGGAAACATCTGGAACCACATTCATGCATGCAGGTCACATTAAAGTGTGGGAAATTACAGCTCAGTGTTATTTATAACAACAGATCACAAGCTTACATACTGATCTGGGCTAAAAAAACAAAACTGATAAAACTGTCATATTAGAAAAAAATCATGATCAATTTATTATTTGATTGTTTTTTCCTAATTCTGATTTTAGCAATTGATTTCTGCCAAGAGAGTCTCGACATCACACAGCTTTACAGTGCACACATTTGGTGACCTGCTGGATTTAGGTAACGTTGTCTTGTAAATAGTAAAACCAGATTCCATCCACAGGTAACATTTGTGCACTGTGAAGACACATCAGGCATCAGACGAACTGAAATATTGTGGATTAAATAAATTATTTAGGCTAAACGACAGACAGAGTGCTTTCGTTTTTTATGCTTTTGCTATTCATTGTTCTCCTCCAACACACCTGTCTCACACATTCAGGTGTGCAGTGACTTGTCAGGGTTCAGGTTAGAAACAGGTTTATTTGGGGGTGGGGAGGGTCAGGGGGTAGATATTAGTTGTGATGGATTGGAGTGAGGGGTGAGGTAATATGTGTCCTGTCACATATAAAAAGACCAGTGTGTGTGTGGTCACCTGGGGACTCCAGGTGGGGGCGCTCTATTGGGCCTTGAGGGAACAGACGGTGGGGTTCCAGGGTCAGGTGACACAGCAGGACGAGAGGGGGGGCCAGGGGCCGCCCGACCACCAGGACGAGGAGGTCCAGGAGGGACCCGACGCTGGGGGGTCGGACTGGACATGGGAGATCTGGAGAGAGTGAGACGGCCAAACCGACTCAGTGATGATGCCTGTGCCACATGAACATACCAGCTGACCTGTTGTCCTGACGGCATTCCGGTCACCTGCAGCCAGGAGTCATCGACGGGTGGAGGGACAGCCGTGGTGATAGTGGTGGTGCTGATGTCACCGATGATGTTGAGGCCTTCACGCAGAGCATGGTACATCTTCAACATCTCATCACGGTGCTGGGCCTGGGCAAGAGACACACACACACAGGGGGAGAGAGAGAGAGGACAGAGGATGATCAGGACCCAATACAGGACACGTATTGGATCTGGTCTGCTTCTGGTCCAGATTGTCCAAAGGTGCTCAGATTGAAAAAAAGTCTACATTTAATGCTGAAAGGATTTTCTCAGCTTTAAACAAACTTGATTGTCTGCTGGGCCTGATCCTAGACCCACATAATACATATAATAGTGATGAGAAATAAAAATACATTTTAGAAAGCATGGAGGTGCAGGGTTGTGAACCAGAAATCCAGTTTAATAATGTACTGGTATAAAGATGCTAAAGTGCCTGTCATGTAAAGTAAAACTGGATAAAACACGGAGAGCTCACTGTGACAGCGCTGGACCTGATGATTAGATAAAAAATAGCCAGTGGACTGAGAATGTGAAACACTTCATTGTTATTTAACATCATTTTAATATGGACAAATAAAATACCTCAGCATTCTTTTAACAGACTTTACAGCCGTTCACATACAGGGGCCAAATGTGTATAGTATTGTATGTGGGTC